GGCGAACCTATGACACCCGTGCCAGAGGCGGCACTCGGAGCCCTCTCTGTGGGCATGTGTGCTGTCGCCCCAGCCCTACCTCTCCCCGTGGCCCCCTCCTCACCAGCAGCCTCCCCCGAAGGAGAGTTGCCCCTGGGCACAGTCCGCAACGAGCAGCGCAGCCAAAGACATGGCAGCCGGGCAGCGGGGACAGGACTCCGCCCTCGTGCCCCATCGTGTGCCGATGATGTTGCAGGGCGTGGGCAGAAGGCATGGCTGTTATGGTGCTGCTGGTCCGCCTGGTCGATCCGTGGCGGGCCGTGGAGGTGGTGGCTGGCCCTGCGGGTGGGCGGGGCAGGGTGGGGGGCGGGGCAGGGTAGGGTAGGCCGGAGCAGGGCGGCGGGGCAATTTTTGGGCACTCCATCACTGTCCTAGGACATTTATTTTTTACCAAGAGAATAAACTATACTGAAGGTTCCATGTGTTTACAGAAGGAGAGAAGCCGGTTCTAATGATTTCCCACACAAACAGCATCCAAGAGTTTTTCCTCCCTCCCCACGGTCCTCCCACTGTCCATGGTCCACCGATCGTTGGCATTCACTTTGTTTTGGGAACGATCCGACTGCCTCGGACTTTCCCAGCTGAATGACCTTGTTGTGTTGGGTCCGTCTCAGGCTTTCAGCCAGGCTCACTTGCATTCCTCTTTTCCCTCCCTCACCTTCCGGTGCCTTTCCTTCCCCACCCTGTCCCGTTACCGTTGTCCGGATGCAAACGAAGCTGCGTAGCGAGTCAACCATGACAGACGAGCTGTGATGGCCGTACGCTGACTGACCGATTCCCCTTCTTGTCTCCTCTCCCCTTTGGATTGTAGGGCCCGAACGGCGGATTGTCCTCATGGGTGGAATCAGAAGTGGGAAAAGTGCGACGGGAAACACCATCCTGGGAAGCAAGGTCTTTGGGATACCACCTATGTCAGATACAAAAAGTTGCCAAAAAGAGGAGATAGTGTGGAACGGCAGGAGGATTGTGGTGGTCGATACGCCTGGCTTCCGAGAGACCTTGCATCCAGAAGGGGCAAATGCTGCTGAAGTGAGCGAGTGGGTGAAGTTATGCTCCCCGGGTCCCCACGTTATTCTCTGCGTCATGCGCCCTGGCTGTTTCTCCCAGGAGAAGGATGTGGCTCGGATGATCAAAGGGATTTTCAGTCAGAAAGGCAGGAATTATATGATCATCCTGTTCACCGACAAATATAAGCCGAAAGGTCGTTCTCTTGAAACTTTCACCTTTTTCCAAGATAATAAGGAGTATATTGCTGAATGTGGGAACCGCTACCTGGCCTTCAACAACACGGCCAGAGGAAACGAACGGGAGGCTCAGATGGACGAACTGATGAAGATGATTGACCGGCTCGTATATGAGAACGGAGATGCTGTTTATTACACGGAGGACATGCTGAAGAAAGACATAGAGAACTCCAAAAAACCCGTGCCTCCTCCTTGTGTTCAATTGTCTACAGTGTCTAAAACTTGATGAGCAAAAAAAGAAAAAAAAACCCCGGAAGAAAGTGATCAAAGTACACCTACTTACCACACTTTTAGTGGGAAACTTGTGCCTGTTTCCCTGACGTTAATCTTTGCGCTCATGGATGAAGAGAGCTTCCTGGTAGAATTAAGTCAGATTCCAACTGAAGACAATTCCTTTCCTTAGTTTTTAATTCACGTTAATAAAGGAACGCCTTCTCGCACAAGTACGTGGAACCAAACGACAGTAATGCTATGACAGCTTTGTTTTGTTGTAAAATGTCTCTGGATCCGAGAAGGCTTTGTGGAATGCCTGGACAATACTTCGTTGCAGATAACGCAAACAGGAAGCTGCTGGTCGTTTTCTTCCATGAAATAAAATCCTAGACTTCAAATAATCTTCACTTTATTGTCGATTTGGTGCCAGTTTTAATTTCTTCAGTAGAGGTTCCTTTGCTGAATCACCTTCTGATGAATATATGATGATTTTCTCCATATATATTAATATGCACCATTACCTTGGTGGTCAGGTGGCTGGTTGGCCCTTCTTCCTCTCGCCTCTTTTTCTCCTCACCCGTATTTGCAAAGGCCGCTGGCTCGGTCTCTCACGTTGCTTGCAAAGGCCGCTCACTCGGTCTCTCACTCATGTTGCTCACAAGGGTGCTCACTTGGTCTCTCACGTCGCTCGCAAAAGGCCTCTCGCTTGGTCTCTCATGTTGCTCGCAAAGGCCGCTCGCTTGGTCATGGGATGTGTGTTGGTGTGTGCATGTCTCATCCAGACTGCTACCTTAGCTTGTGTTTGACTCTAGGTTTCAGGCAGCACCTAGTCTGCCTCAAGATCAGTATATATATATAGAGGAGGAGGAGGAGGAGGAGGAGGAATGGGGGTCCTCGGTGGTCCTCTGAGCTGGGTGGTTTTCTTGCAGACGTTTCATGACCCAGTGTAGGTAACGTGAGCAGTGCTAGTGAGGAGTGGCAGCTCCCCAAATAGTGGAATCCTGCTAACTAGTCCCCCCCCCATTCCTTCTTTTCTCTAGACTGGCCAAGCCCAATTCCTGCACCCGTTTTTCCGATGTTTTAGCCTCCAGCCTCCTAATCTTCTTTGTTGCTCTTCAGTCCCCCAAACGCCAGACGTGGCCTCCTCACTTACCCGGCTTGGCCTCCTCATCCGTAGCTGCCTGGAAGAGTGGAAAGGAAACACGGGTCAGACAGGGCTCTCAACTCCCAGAGGCCTCGGCATGTCCAGTGTGGCAGAGAGCCAGCTGCCACCCCGTTTAATGCCCAGAAACCGCAGCCTGGTCCCCCACCCCATTCAGGGCAGCACCCAGAAGCTGCTCTGGAGCCCCCAGCCAGTGGTGGGATTCAGCCGGTTGCACCAGTTCGGCAGAACCGGTAGCTAATTTTTTGTTGCCCAGGCCCAGAATGGACTTCCGGAAGCAGCATCCACACAGAGAACTGGTTATTCACATATTTGAATCCCACCACTGCCCCCAGCTAACCGGGGGGGGGAGGGTTGAGATGTTCTGAAGGGACCAAGGAAGGGAGGAAAGGAGGGGCAGGGAGGGAGGGGGAGAAGGAAGGGATGGTGGGGGACACAGGTGGAGGAGAAAAAGAGGAAATAGAGCTGGGAGACCCCTTTCTTGGGGGGGCATTGCATGCTCTCCACCCATTAACCACCCTTCTCCCTCCCCGATTGCCTGTCCTAACATGAGGGTCTCTGCTGTCCCACCCACCCATTGGGGTCTCCCAGAGAGGAGAGACCCCTTGTTATCGTGTAAACGGAGCAGCTCCACCAGATGCCCAGAAGGAGCACTGCCCTTGCCCAGTTCCACGCTGCCATTTGATTCTGCTCTGTGGCATGCTGGTCCCGTACCATGGGGAACTCGTACATCCAGCTGATGTAGTGTCTTTCCCCGTTCTCGAAAATGACTCTCTGCACCATCTCCATCAGCTCCGACACCTGCGCCTGCCACTCGACTCCTGTGGCCTTGTTGTTGAAGCCACAAAAACAGTTCCCACACTGCCGGATCAGCTCCCGCAGATTTCGGACGTACTCCTGCAGGGATTCCTCTCTCAAATCCTCCTTGCAGGTGAAGAGGACAATCGTGTGCCTGGCCAATGCGGCCTCAAAGATATCCTGGACATGTTTTGCAGCTGTCACATCTTCGGCGGTGGAGCGCCCCACCTGGGCCCCAAAGATCAGGCCGTGGGGGCCAGGCCGGGAGAGTTCGATGCAAGCCGTGATCTCATTTTGCACAATCTCACTGTGGTTTTCGGAATCGGAAATGTTGGGTGTGTCGACCACGTAGATCTTCCTGTCTTGCCAGATTCCTTGACCCCTTTGGCACTTCAAGGTGGTGGCGTTTGGCTGCAGGATGGACTGGCTGGCCGAGGATGGTATTGCCTGTGGTGCTCTTCCCACCTCCGGTCTTCCCCACCAGGATCAGCCGGAGCTCGGCGTCCTGCCCCGTGAGTTTGGAAGACAATGTTGCAAAAAGGAATCCACAACACGAATGACAAGAAATCTTTGTATTTATTCTGTATAATTACATAAGCAACCCATCCAGCAAAGCTGACACACATAAGATAAAGATTTCACCCAGTAAGTCTGGCACACTGTAGATAAGAAGGGAGAAAGCAAAAGTAGCTAAACAGGTTCCTATTCGGGTGTCCCCTAAAGATATTGTATGTTCTTGGGTGGGTTAGGACATTGGGTGTTATCCTTGCTGTCCTTTCATGATCCTGCATCCAGGACTATAAGTGACCAGAGACAGAGGGGCCATCTGTATATTGATACTGTCCCTTAAGTCCTGGTCAGCAAGCTTGCCAGAACCACGCCATGAATTGTGCTCCTCGATCTGACATAGCCCGGTCTGGCAGACCGTGCAGCTGGAACACATGGCGAATGAATAACTGAGCCATGGACCGAGCTGGGGTAGTCCCAAACATGGGATAAAATGGGACATTTTAGTGAACATATCCATCACGACCAATGCAGTGGCGGCTCTGTTAGATGGTGGTAGCTTGGTGTCTCTGGTTCAGAGTCCAGGCTGTCTGCAAATGCTCCAGATTGTGATGATTGATCTGAACCTCAATTTGATGCCAGGCACCTTCCAAATGGTGCCACCAGGTCTCAAAGGCCACCTTCACGGCCAGCAGTTCATTGTCCTATATTGTGTAGTTCCTTTCCGCTGCATGCAACATCATGCAGTAGAAGGCACAAAAGAACAGGGTACCTGAAGGAGCATAAGCTTGCAGGAGAACAGCGCCGATGGCAATATCCGATGCATCCATCTCCACCACGAACGGCCTTGCCAGATTGGGATGCTTCAGGATGTGCTTCATGGCTAAGGCAACTTTTATGGCATCAAAGGCATCCTGCTCTGCCATGCCCCAGTGGAATTTCACCCCCTCTGGTAACAGGTTGGAAAGGGGTGCGGTCAAAGCAGGGAATGAACGTACGGTAGTAGTTCGCGAAGCCCAAGAGCTGTTGCCTATCCTTCACCCGGCTTGGGTCTCCCAGACCTGCAGTGCCTCCAATTTCTCAGGATCTGTCTCCACACCTTCGGGAGAGATGCAGAGGCCCAGGATGTTGACGGGCATTTGCATGAATTGGCAATTTTTCATGCTTTTCAAAGAGTTAATGTTCACACGGGTCCAGGGTTCCAATGTCCAGTCCACCCAGCTAAGTGAGTCCATGAAGCAAACTTTAGTCCACCAGGCAAAGTCAAAGCCCGAGTCAAAGCTGGGGGAGTCTAAGCCAGTGGTGGCGAACCTATGGCACGTGTGCCAGAGGCGGCACTCGGAGCCCTCTCTGTGGGCACGCGTGCCGTCGCCCCAGCCCCGTTTCTCCCCACAGCCTCCTCCTCACCAGAAGAGAGTCAACCCCCCGGGCGCGGCCTGCACGGAGCAGCGCAGCCAAGGACATAGCCAGGCAGCAGGGACAAGACTCCGCCCTCGCGCTCCATAGTGTGCAGACGATGCTGCGGGGAGTGGGCAGAGGGCGTGGCTGCCATGACGCTGCAGGGCTGCCTGGGTTATCTGCTGCGGCAGGCCATGGAGATGGTGTGTGGCCCTGCAGGCGGGTGGGGCAGGGGTGGAGCAGGCAGGAGGGGAGACAGAGCAGCGGCGGGGGGTGGGTTTTGGGCACTCGGTCTCTAAAAGGTTCGCCATCACTGGTCTAAGCCAAAGCAAACAATGGTTCCTGGCCAAGACTCACTCCCCCATGGATTATCTTTCCAGGTGTTCCTTTCGAGGAGGGGTGCGGCGATCTCCTCATGAGTAGCCTTGCAACCCTTCTCTGAGCTTGCCTACGCTCCACTCTCCCTGCCCTTGGATCGAGCATTGGAGGCAGCTGTTCCTCATCAGAGGGGATCTGCTGTCTATCAGCACCACTGGCAGTCAGCAGCCAATCGTCCCCTGTGTCTATGAAAGCAGGCAGCTCTCTGTCCGGTCAACTACCTCTCCCAATGCCTGAGGGGCCTGGGGCAGCATCAGATGGTCCCGGTTCCAACTCCCCCTCCTCCTCCTCCGAATCAGGTTCCTGTGGGGCCAAGACACAGAGATACACAGGAGAGCCACATGGAATCTCAGAGGATTGTCAGGATAAATTCGATATTGTCCGACATGAGACAATCAGGTTGGATACGGATCTCCTTGGTGATGGTGAACTGCACGGTTGGACAATGGCTTTGTCCTGTCTGAGGATTTCACTATTGCCTATTATTCAGGACACGATGCCAGAGAAACAAGTGGAGTTGTGTTTATTGGAAGCAACCTGCTTACAATCCACTTGCTAGAGCAGTGAAAAGCTTCTCAGTGGTCCATGACCGAATTACGACCATCAAGAGTTTGTGCCAAGCCCCTCAACGTCACCCGTCTCCGATTCTATGCGCTGATGAACTGGGGCAAGGTATTCAGTCAGCCATTACTGGAACTGCAGAAGAGGAACACCACACAAGAAGCCAGAGGAAAAGCACAGGGGGTCCTCAGAGGAAACCATCAAAACAGCTGAGTCAAGAGCAGCGGCCAAACTGCAGGCAAAGGGGAAGAAGTACGAAGACCGAATGCAGCTTTCCAGAGGCAGCGACGGAGGACAACACAGGGACGAGTGATGGGAACAGCTTGAAGTGGACCAAATGAGACTTTAACTGCCCTGATGTCAACTGGGAGACAATCAGCCCACCAGAATTGATCTGGAAGGGTCACCCTATCCAGAGTCAAAGATGACAAAGTCCCGTATCCCAAATCCCCGTGTCGTCAAAGCCATTGGGTCTTGCCAGGGATCAGCTGACGCCTGCTGCCCCCCCATCCAGGCCCCCACAGCCTCCAGGCACCCAGTGGAACCAGTGGAACCGAACTTGCCTTCAGAAGTTGTGGTGCGCCATCACTGGAGGCTTTTAAGAAGAGACTGGACAGACATTTATCTGAAATAGTAGAGGGTCTTGAGCAGGGGGGGTGTTGGATTAGAACAGGGCTTTTCAACCGGTGGTACGTGTACCAGCAGTGGTACTTTAGCACCTGGCAGGTGGTATGCAATCTCTAGCCAAGTGTAGCGGGAGGGGGAATGAGCTAAAATGGCTCTGCACAGTCCTGGAGGAAATCAGCTGGACTGCAGGGCTTGGCAGAAGCTCCAGGATCGATGCACGTAGCTACATGCTAATTGGAGCCTCCAGTGTATCCAGAAGAGAAAAGGAGGAGGAGGAGGAAGAGGACGAGGAGGGCAGAGAGACGAGAAGCTATAAAAGGAGGTTTTGGCGGGAGGGGGAGAGAAAAAAAACACACGAAGAGAGAGAAGAGGCTTTTGTTAGCGAAGTGGTGAGGAGAGAGTGAGAGAGAGGGGCCTTTCCAAGCGAGGTGAGTGAGAGACCGAGCGAGCGGCCTTTGCGAGCGACGGGTGAGTGAGAGAGACCGAGCAAGCGGCCTTTGCGAGCAACGTGAGGGAATGAGAGACTGAGCGAGCGGCCTTTGCAAGCGACGTGAGGCTGAGGGAGCAGCCTTTGCAAGCGACGTGAGAGACCAAGCGAGTGCCCTTTGTGAGCGACATGAGTGAGAGACCAAGCAAGAGGTCTTTGCGAGTGATGTGAGAGATTGAATAAATGGCCTTTGTGAGCGACGGGGGAGTGAGAGAGAGACCAAGCGAGCAGCTTTTGCAAGCGACAGGGAGTGAGAGACCGAGCGAGAGGCCTTTGCAAGCAATGGGTGAGAGAGACCAAGCAAGTGGCCTTTGCAAGCAACGTGAGGGAATGAGAGACCGAGCGAGTGCCCTTTGTCAGCGACGGGGGAGTGAGAGACCGAGCAAGAGGCCTTTGCGAGTGATGGGGGAGTGAGAGACCAAGCGAGCGGCCTTTGTGAGCAACATGAGAGACCGAGCGAGAGGCCTTTGCAAGTGATGTGAGAGACCGAGCAAGCGTCCTTGTGAGCAACATGAGTGAGAGATTGACTGAGCGGCCTTTGCGAGTGATGGGGGAGTGAGAGAGACCAAGCGAGCGGCCTTTGCGAGCAACATGAGAGACCGAGCGAGAGGCCTTTGCAAGCGATGTGAGAGACTGAGCGAGCGCCCTTGTGAGCAACATGAGTGAGAGACCAAGTGAGCGGCCTTTGCAAGCAACGTGAGAGACCGAGCCAGCGGCCTTTGCAAGTACGGGTGAGGAGAAAAAGAGGAGAGAGGAAGAAGGACCAACCAGCCACCTGACCACCAAGGTAATGGTGCATATTAATATATACGGAGAAAATCATCATATATTCATCAGAAGGTGATTCAGCAAAGGAACCTCTACCGAAGAAATTAAAACTGGCACCAAATCGACAATAAAGTGAAGATTATTTGAAGTCTGGATTTTATTTCATGGACAAAAAACGACCAGCAGCTTCCTGTTTGCGTTATCTGCAATGAAGTATTATGCAGGCATTCCACAAAGCCTTCTCGGATCCAGAGACATTTTACAACAAAACACAAACAGAGCCGGTAGCGTTTTTCGTGAAGAAGGGAGATAAATGTATAAAGCGCTGTGCTGCTTTCATGAAGTCCACAACCGTCTAGAATTGACATCACACCGCAACTTGAAGGAACATTTTAATGAAAAAACACTGACCGATTAACGTCAGGGAAATAGGCACAAGTTTCCCACTAAAAGTGTGGTAAGTGGGTGTACTTTTATCACTTTTTTCCCGTTTGTTTTTTTTTGCTCATCAAGTTTTTCACACCTTGCTAAGCCACTGGTGGTACTCGAATATTGTCATGTCCTAAAGGCGGTACAATCTGTGAAAAGGTGGGGAAAGGCCTGTGTTAGACAATTGGACACAAGGAGGAGGCACGGGTTTTTTGAAGTTCTCTATGTCTTTCTTCAGCATGTCCTCCGTGTAATAAACAGCATCTCCGTTCTCATATACGAGCCGGTCAATCATCTTCATCAGTTCGTCCATCTGAGCCTCCCGTTCGTTTCCTCTGGCCGTGTTGTTGAAGGCCAGGTAGCGGTTCCCACATTCAGCAATATACTCCTTTTTATCTTGGAAAAAGGTGAAAGTTTCAAGAGAACGACCTTTCGGCTTATATTTGTCGGTGAACAGGATGATCATATAATTCCTGCCTTTCTGACTGAAAATCCCTTTGATCATCCGAGCCACATCCTTCTCCTGGGAGAAACAGCCAGGGCGCATGACCCAGAGAATAACGTGGGGACCCGGGGAGCATAACTTCACCCACTCGCTCACTTCAGCAGCATTTGCCCCTTCTGGATGCAAGGTGTCTCGGAAGCCAGGCGTATCGACCACCACAATCCTCCTGCCGTTCCACACTATCTCCTCTTTTTGGCAACTTTTTGTATCTGACATAGGTGGTATCCCAAAGACCTTGCTTCCCAGGATGGTGTTTCCCGTCGCACTTTTCCCACTTCTGATTCCACCCACGAGGACAATCCGCCGTTCGGGCCCTACAATCCAAAGGGGAGAGGAGACAAGAAGGGGAATCGGTCAGTCAGCGTACGGCCATCACAGCTCGTTTGTCATGGTTGACTCGCTACGCAGCTTCGTTCGCATCCGGACAACGGTAATGGGACGGGGTGGGGAAGGAAAGGCACCGGAAGGTGAGGGAGGGAAAAGAGGAATGCAAGTGAGCCTGGCTGAAAGCCTGAGACGAACCCAACACGACAAGGTCGTTCAGCTGGGAAAGTCCGAGGCAGTCGTATCGTTCCCAAAACAAAGTGAATGCCAACGATCGGTGGACCATGGACAGTGGGAGGACCGTGGGGGAGGGAGGAAAAACTCTCGGATGCTGTTTGTGCGCGAAATCGTTAAAACCGGCTTCTCTCCTTCTGTAAACACATGGAACCTTCAGTATAGTTTATTCTCTTGGTAAAAAATAAATGTCCTAGGACAGTGATGGAGTGCCCAAAAACTGCCCCGCCACCCTACTCCGGCTTGCCCTGCCCTGCCCCCACCCCGCCCACCTGCAGGGCCAGCCACCACCTCCACGGCCCGCCACAGATCGACCAGGCAGACCAGCAGCACCATAACAACCATGCCCTCTGCCCATGCCCTGCAGCATCATCGGCACACGATGGGGCACGAGGGCGGAGTCCTGTCCCCGCTGCCCGGCTGCCATGTCTTTGGCTGCGCTGCTCGTTGCGGACTGTGCCCAGGGGCAACTCTCCTTCGGAGGAGGCTGCTGGTGAGGAGGGGGCCACGGGGAGAGGTAGGGTGGGGCGACAACGCACGTGCCCACAGAGAGTGCTGCCTCTGGCACGGGTGCCATAGGTTCGCCACCACTGTCCTAGGAGTTTCTTTTGCTGTCTAACCGAGGACGGTTGACCTCCTCCGCCCTCCACCCAGGACAGCGGGTCCCACCCAATCCCACCCCCAGGAGTTACAGACTTTACCTCGGATGCTTTCAGCCATTTCCGGACGATTGGCACAGGATGAATCTGGGGATTTCTGGATGAAAAGCAAAACAGAATCAGCCAACGGAGAGACTGGCCTTGCTCGGAGGTTGCCAGGAACTCCCCTCCCACCAGGAGACCCAGGCAAGAATTGGGGGGAGGGAGTTAAAAAAGGGTTACTCCCTCCCTCACTGCCGGTTTTGAGGCAAATTCATCCTGATCCTGAATCATCTGGAGGACACAGGAGACCGAGTGATACATCAGTCAGCTGCCCTGGAAGACTGTTCACACCCCTTCCTGGACCCCCTTTTCCAGGAGTCTTCCCCTCTCCAACATCAGTACACTGATTACATTGTGTGTACAGGTAGTTTTCGAGTTACAACACTTCATGTAGCGATCAAAGTTACGACACCACTGAAAAGAATGACCGTTTTTTCACACCGACGACCCGTTGCAGCATCCCCCGGGGTCACGTGATTGGTATTTGGATGCTTGACAACTGACTCGTATTTATGATGGTCGCAGTGTCCCGGGGTCACGTGATCCCCTTTTGCAACCTTCTGACAAGCGAACTGAAGGGGGAAGCCAGATTCGCTTTAACTGGGGGACTGAACAACTGCAGCGATTCCCTGAATGATTGTGGCAGGAAAAGGCATCAAATTGGGCAAACTCCCTTAACCAGTTTCTCCCTTAGCAACGTACATTTTGGGCTCACTTATGGTCGGTAAGCCGAGGACTACCCCTACTGCTCGCCAAGACTACCCCTGTAAAGAGTTTGGGGAAGGGGATTCTGTCAAGGTCATGATTGAACCGTTAACCAGCTGTAAATTGTAACCATGGGAATGAGTCAGCAGGGTCTGTGTCTCTTTAAGAGCCTTTGTATAAAAGGAAGGCTCTGCTGATGTGTTCTCTCTCTTCTGTTTCCTGCTGTAACTCTGGTATGTTGGATCCTGCTCTATTAGCACGTGTGTGTAGATTGCTCCTGGTGTATGATATTGTAGATAGTGTAAGATAAACCACCATTTCCTATAGACCACTGTTTACTGTGTTTACTCCTGGCTTATTTCGCGCAAGAAGACAGATTCCTTCGTCCTGTGTCCCGCACAGACCCCCAAACACGACACGCCAGCTCCATCCTGGAAGAACAGCTGGCGGACAAGCAGGACAACTAGGGCTCCCCCAAGAGGCCGAATGTGGGCACAGCCCACACTCTGTCCATCGACGGTGGTCCAGAGGTGCCTGTTCTGGTTTGGCTGAGGAAGGACCCCACTGCCCAGAGCAGTGGGGCAGAGGCAGCAGTCACAGTGAGGGGGCCCCTGCTGAAGCTTTCTTGGAGTTCCCAAATGGATGGGGGCCCCTTTTCCTATAGTATTATGAATACTATCCTTGCCATTCAGGGCTTTTAGACGTGAGTCGCACTGGATGCAGTTCCTCTCTTCACCAGCAGAGGATGAGACAGGCTGGGGACTCTGTTACCCCATAGGTTTTTGGTGTTGGGGACTGTTGTGGGGGGCTGGGGGGGAAGAATCTAGAGAATTTATTTCCTTCCGCTGAGGATAAGGCTCCGTGGTGAAGATCCGGCCGCGTCCCCTAGTAACCCTTTGGTTTGGTTCCCCCAAAATGCTTACCCATACACACAGAGATACACACAAACAGACACACACACACAAATGCACATGCCTGCCCACTTCCTCCTTCGCCTTTCCTGGATGGGGACTTTCAGTGCTGGGGCTTCACCCAAATGCCCTCCCCCCGCCCCAGTCCCTGAAAGGCTTTCAGGAAAGGTGCCTCATTGGACACCACAACTGGAGCCTCCAGCCAGGAACAGTACCCCCCCTTGACCATCCAGACAAAAGAGCCTGTCCCCTCCAGGAGGGCCAGAATTGGGAATCTCACTGGAAAGGTTCCTAGGGGAGGGAGGAGATGGGATTGGGGGTCCTGTGGGTGGGTGGAGAGTTAGGAAGAAGGTCTCCCCTCCCTATCCTTGATTCCAGCTCTCCCCTTGTTTGACTGCCTGGACAGAACACAGCAGAAACTTCAGAAAAGGAGAAAGCCCCCTCCCCAAATTACCCAGAACTCCCCCCCAACAACAGAGGTGCTTCTGTGTCCCACTTGTAGCTAAGTCCCCTCCCTTGTTCTCCCCCCACTTCTCTGCCTTCCTTGGCTAACCAGGAAGAAGGGATCCTGAGCGATTCAGCCATCCGGTTCCTAATGAATGGATCTCGGCTACTAACCTCCAGCCATTCACCTCCCCACGATTGCCTGTCCTAACATGAGGGTCTCGGCTGTCCCACCCATCCATTGGGGTCTCCCAGAGAGGAGGGATCCCCTGCTCTCGTGTAAACGGGCAGAAAGAGCATCGCCCTCGCCCAGTTCCACTTTGCCATTTGATTCTACTCTATGACACGCTGATCCCGTACCTTGGGCACCTTGGGCAGATGGATGGCGTAGTGTCTTCCCCTGTTCTCCGAAACGACTCTCTGCACTGTCCCCATCAGCTCTGAGACCTGCGCCTGCCACTCGACTCCTGTGGCCTTGTTGTTGAAGCCACAGAAGCGGTCCCCGCACTGCTGGATCAGGTCCCGCAGTTCGCGGTTGTCGGAATTTCGGACGTACTCCTGCAGGGATTCCTCTCCCAAATCCTCCCTGCAGGTGAAGAGGACGATCGTGCGCCTGGCCGACTCGTTCCCAAAAATACCCCAGACCCGCTTTGCGGCTGTCACATCTTCGGCGGTGAAGCGACCCACCTGGGTCACAAAGATCAGGGCATGGGGGCCTTGCTGGGAGAGTTCGACGCAAGCCGTGATCTCATTTTGCACAATCCCACTGTGGTTTTCAGAATCGAAAATGTTGGGTGTGTCGACCACGGAGATCATCCTGTCCTTCCATCTTCCTTGACCCCTTTGGCACTTCAGGGTGGTGGTTTTTGCTGACAAGACGGACTTGAACACCCTCCGGCCGAGGATGGTGTTGCCTGTAGCGCTCTTCCCGCCTCCGGACTTTCCCACCAGGATCATCCAGAGTTCGGCGTCCTCCCCTGCGAGTTTGGAAGACGACGTTACAAAAAGGAATCGAGATATTTCTCACATGTTGGGGTGTCATTGATCAGGCTGGAAATGGGGACAACTTTGGGAAAGAGTCATCCCTGCCCGGAAGTGGTTCAGTGATATTTTCATATGAATCTCCCGGAGTTGCTAAAATGGGTGCTCAGCCGTGCAGATTCCCCGAACGTGCGAATCCCACTTTAGCAGATGTCCGAATACAGCCACTGTGTCCAGCCCCCACGAGCAAAGCTATAGCCAAGCAAATTGAGACTGAGTTGTGAGGAGGCTCAGGGCTGCTGGTGTGTGCTGTGTGACGATGGCCCCGAGCCAGGGTATGGGAGTAATATTGGAAGGGACCTTGGAGGTCTTCTAGTCCGACCTTCTGCTCTACTGCACCACCATGATCGCTGGTGGCACAGTCGTAGAATGCAGGCAAACTCTGCCCACTGCCAGGAGTTCGATGCTGACTGGCTCAAGGTTGACTGAGCTCTTCCGTCCTTCCGTGGTCGCTAAAATGTGGGGGGCCAATATGGCAACTCTGTAAACCGCTAAGAGGGGGCTCTGAAGTACTCTGAAGCGCTATATAAGTGCTATTGCTAAGGGAGGTGGAAGGTATGAGCATAGGGTTGTGTGAGGATCCGAATGAAGCCAGAGGGAAACATTTAGGGGGACCTGCTGTGGAAAGAGAAAGTCCAACGGGAACTTGTTGCGGAAGGGAAATGCTCGCAGTGACCCCGTGGCGGGAGGGGTAGAATAGGTAGGGGGTAGTGCAGTGTCCTTGGGGTCAGTCACAAGTGCAAATGACCATTGGGGTGCTGCAGGGACTGTAATTTTAGGATCCGATCTTAAGTAACTTTTTTTGGGGGGGTGATCCACCATAATGTAAAACAGTTGTTAAAACAAGGGTCCCCAAGCCCCGGTCCCTGAATCGCCACTGGTCCACAGCATGCCGGCAACCGGGCCACGCAAATAAGCAAAGCACCTGAAACCAACGCATCCCCCGGTCCACAGAAAAACCCCTCTCCACGGAACCGGTCCCTGGTGCCCAAACGTTTGGGGGCCACTGTGCTAAGAGACCCGTCCTACACCAATGTCTCCCTGCTGCCGTACCTTCCATCGTCACTTCTTTGCATTTTCCATCCATAGGACGAAGAGGAGCATCAATCACGGAATCTGGAACTGGATAGAAGCCGGAGATGTGTGTTGGTGTGTGCGTGTCTCATCCAGACTGATCCTTAGCTTGTGTTTGACTCTAGGTTTCAGGCAGCACCTAGTCTGCCTCAAGATCAGTATATATATATAGAGGAGGAGGAGGAGGAGGAGGAGGAGGAGGAGGAGGAGGACGACTGTGCGGTTCCTGGTGCTCTCTGAGCTTGATGGCTTCGTTGCAGACATTTCATGACCCAACTAGGGAACGTCATCAGGGCTAGTGAGGAGTGCTGTTTGTGGCAGCCCCCCCCCCAAATATTGGAATGCTGCTATTGTGTCCTCCCCCCCCCCAGTCCTTCTTTTCTCTAGACTGGCCAAACCCCAAATCTTGCACCCGTTCGTCCAATGTTTTGGCCTCCAGCACCCGAATCTTCTTTGTTGCTCTTCAGCCTCCCTCCTCACTTACCCGGCATGGCCTCTTCATCCGTGGCTGCCTGGAAGAGTACAAAGGAAACACCGGTCAGACAAGGGACACGACGCCCAGAGGCCTCGGCGTGTCCAATGGGGAAGGGAGCCAGCTGCCACCCTGTTTATGCCTAGGAACCGCGGCCTGGTCCCCCACCCCATTCAAGGCATCACCCAGAAGCTGTTCTGGAGCCCCCCAGCTAATGGGGGGAAGGGTTCAGATGCTCTGAAGGGACCAAGGAAGGGAAGAAAGGAGGGGCAGGGAGAGGGAAGGGACGGCAGGGGATACAGGTGGAGGAGAAAAAGGGGAAATAGAGCTGGAGGACTCTTTTTTGGAGGGGCGTTGCATGCTCTCCACCCATTAACCACCCTCTCCCGATTGCCTGTCCTAACGTGAGGGTCTTGGCTGTCCCACCCACCCTTTGGGGTCTCCCAGAGAGTAGGGAACCCCTTGCTCTTGTGTAAATGGGCAGAAAGAGCACCACCCTCCCCCAGTTGTGACTTTGCCATTTCATTCTAGTCTATGACATGCTGATTCCCCTACCTTGGGCCCCTTGTGCAGCGGGATGACGTAGTGTCTTCCCCCGTTCTCCGAAACGACTCTCTGCACCATCTCCATCAGCAACGAGACCTGCTTCTGCTGCTCGCCTCCTGCAACCTTGTTGCTGAAGCCACAGTAGCGGTCCCCGCACCGCCAGGTCAGCTCCCGCAGTTTGCAGTTGTCAGACTTTCGGACATACTTCTGCAGGGATTCCCCTCTCAAATCCTCCTCGCGGGTAAAGAGGATAATCGTGTGCCTGGCGGATTCGTCCCCAAAGATATCCCAGACCCGTTTTGCAGCTGTCACATCTTCGGCGGTGAAGCGTCCCACCTGGGTCACAAAGATCAGGGCGTGGGGGCCAGGCCTGGAGAGGTCGATGCAAGCCCCGATCTCGCGTTGCACAGTCTCACTGTGGTTTTTAGAATCAAAAATGTCAGGTGTGTCGACCACGGAGATCTTCCTGTTCTGCCATCTTCCTTGACCCCTTTGACACTTCAGGATGGTGGTCTTTGTTGACAAGATGGACTTGAACACTGGCTGGCCGAGGATGGTGTTGCCCGTGGTGCTCTTCCCGCCTCCGGTCTTCCCCACCAGGATCAGCCGGAGTTCGGTGTCCTCCCCTGTGAGTTTGGAAGACGAAATTACAAAAAGGAATCGAGATATTTCTCACAACATGTCGGGGTGTCATTGAGCAGGCTGGAAATGGGGACAAGTTTGGAAAAGAGTCACCCCTGTCCGGAAGTGGTTCTGTGATATTCTCATCTGAATCTCCCAGAGTTGCTAAAATGGGTGCTCAGCCATGCAGATTCCCTGAACGTGCGAATCCCACTTTAGCAGATGTCCGAATATAGCCACTGTGTCCAGCCCCCATGAGCAAAGCTGGAGCCAAGCAAATTGAAACTGAGCTGTGAGGAGGCTCATGGCTGCTGGTATGTGCTGAGTGACGATGGCCCCGGGCCAGGGTACGAGAGTAATATTGGAAGGAAACTTGGAGGTCTTCTAGTCCGACCCCCTGTTCAACAGCCTCTACTGCACCACCATGACCGCTGGTGGCACAGTGGGTAGAATGCAGCATTGCAGGCAAACTCTGCCCACTGTCAGGAGTTTGATGCTGACTGGCTCAAGGTTGACTCAGCTCTTCTGTCCTTCCGTGGTCGCTAAAATTTGGGGGGATCACTAAGGCGACTCTGTAAACCGCTTAGAGGGGGCTCTGAAGTACTGTGAAGCGCTATATAAGTGATATTGCTACTGTTAAGGAAGGTGGAATGTAGGAGCCTAGGGGTGTGTGAGGATCCGATTGAAGCCAGAGGGAAATATTTACGGGGACCTGCTGTAGAAGGAGAAAGTCCAGCGGGAACTTGTTGCGGAAGGGAAATGCTCGCAGTGACCACATGGCGGGATGGGTAGAATAGGTAGGGGGTACTGCAGTGTCCTTGGGGTCAGTCAGAAGTGCAAATGACCATTGGGGTGCTGCAGGGACTGTAATTTTAGGATCGGATCTGAAGTAACCTTTTTTGGGTGGGATCCACCATAATGTAAAACAGCCGTTAAGACAGGGTCCCTGAACTGTCACCGGTCCACAGCATGCCGGCAACTGGGCCACTCAAATAAGCGAAGCACACAAAACCAGCACACGCGCACAGTCCACAGGAAAACCCCTCTCCACCTAACCGGTCCCTGGTGCCCAAACGTTTGGGGGCCACTATGCCAAGAAACCCATCCTACGTCAATGTCTCCCTGATGCCGTACCTTCCATCATCAATTCTTCCCGTTCTCCATCCGTAGAACGAAGAGGAGCATCAATCACGGAATCTGGAACTAGATAGGAGCCGGGGATGTGTGTTGGTTTGTGTATTTCTCATCCAGATTGATCCTTACCTTGTGTTTGACTCTACGTTTCAGGCAGCACCTAGTCTGCTGGCAACCGGGCCACGCAAATAAGCGAAGCGCACGAAGCCAGCACACACATATACACAAACACACACACGGTCCACAGAAAAACCCCTCTCCACGGAAACTGGTCCCCGGGGGCCCCAATGTTTGGGGGCCACTGTGATAAGAGACCCGTCCTACGTCAAGGAGATGAGAAGAATTACCTGGTCTGCCGCCTGCCGTAACGTCCAACAGGTCTTCCCATTCTCTGTCCGGAGGACAGAGAGGAGCATCCATCAGGGGAACTGGAGCTGGATAGAAGTGGTGTGTGTGTGTTTGTGTGTGTGTCTCAGCCAGACTGATCCTTAGCTTGTGTTTGACTCTAGGTTTCAGGCAGCACCTAGTCTGCCTCTAGATCAGGATTTAGGGAGGAAGAGGAGGAGGAGGAGGAAGAGGAGGAGGAGGAGGAGGAGGAGGAGGATTGGGGGTCGTCGGTGGTTAGGGTTAGGGTTGACTCAGCTCTTCTGTCCTTCCGTGGTCGCTAAAATATGGGGGGTCAATAAAGCGACTCTGTAAACCGCTTAGAGGGGGCTCTGAAGTACTGTGAAGTGATATATAAGTGCTATTGCTACTGCTAAGGGCGGTGGAATGTAGGAGCCTAGTGGTGTGTGAGCATCCGATTGAAGCCAGAGGAAAACGTTTAGGGCACAGGTCGGCTCCAGAGCCGCATGTGGCTCTTTGAGTCTTCTCCTGTGGCTCCCAGCCTCCTCTGCCATTTGCAGAGAGAGAGAGACAGAGAGAGGCACTTGCGCTTCCCTTCTCTCTCTCTCTCTCTCTCTCTGTGTGTGTGTGTTTGTGTGTAAAAAAGAGAGTGGCCTCATGCTGTTCTCCGACGAGCTGACAAGCTTATTGGGCGGGGCTCCTGCCTTGGCTGCATCTCTGCAGGAAGCAGGAAGGGCAGGAGAGAGCCAGCTCAATAAGAATGTGTGTCAGCTTGTTGGAGAACAGCAGGAAGCCAGCTTACCAGGTGATCAGAAGATTGGAGAGAGAGGGAGAGGGGGGGAGAGAGAGAGAGACTGAGGGAGAGAAGAGAGAGAGAGGGAGAGAGAGAGAGAGAGAAAAAGAGGGGGAGAGGAGAGAGAGAGGGAGAGAAAGAGAGAGATGCACAGCACCCTCTATTTCTTTTTAATTAAACTCTTCAATCAAGGCTCCCCTCTGGTGCGCGCGCATGTGCGCACGCAAGTTTTGCAGCTCCCAGTGTTTTCTTTTCTGTGGGAAACGGGTCCAAGTGGCTCTTTGAGTGTTTATGGTTGCCGACCCCTGCCCTAGACACTAGGCCACGGGTCAGCAACCCTTGGCTCCGGAGCTGCATGTGGCTCTTTGAGCCTTCTCCTGAGGCTCCCAGTCTCCTCTGCCATTTGCAGAGAGAGAGACAGAGACAGAGAGAGGCACTTGCGCTTCCCTTCCCTTCCCTTCCCTTCCCTTTCTCTCTCTCTCTCTCTCTCTCTCTCTCTGTGTGTGTGTGTGTGTGTAAAAAAGAGAGTGGCCTCACGCTGTTCTCAGACAAGCTGACAAGTTTATTGGGCGGGGCTCCTGCCTTTGCTGCGTCTGTGCAGGAAGCAGGAAGCAGCAGCAAAGGCAGGAGCCCTGCCCAATAAGCTTGTCCGCTTGTCTGAGAACAGCGTGAGGCCACTCTCTTTTTTACACAAACACACACACACACACACACACACACACACAGAGAGAGAGAGAGAGAGAGAGAGAGAAGGGAATTGCACGTGCCTCTCTCACACACACACTCTCTCACACACACACTCTCACACACACTCTCTCTCACACACACACTCACTCTCTCTCTCTCTCTCTCTCTCTCTCTCTCTCTCTCTCTCTCTCTCTCTCTCTCTGCCTCCCTCCCTCTCTCTCTTTCACTGAGTGGGGGAAGAGGAGTGGCAGACCTAAGGGCAGGAGAGAGCCAGCTCAATAAGAATGTGTGTCAGCTTGTTGGAGAACAACGTGAAGCCAGCTTGCCAGGTGAGCAGAAGATCGGAGAGAGGGAGAAGGGGGGGAGAGAGGGAGGGAGACAAAGAGAGAGAGAGGGAGAGAGGGAGAGGGAGAGAGAGAACTCATGCACAACAGCCTCTATTTCTTTTTAATTAAACTCTTCAATCAAGGCCCCCCCACTGGTGCGCGCGCATGTGCGCACGCAGGTTTTGCAGCTCCCAGTGTTTTCTTTTCTGTGGGAAACGGGTCCAAGTGGCTCTTTGAGTGCTTATGGTTGCCGACCCCTGGTTTAGGGGGACCTGGTGTGGAAGGAGAAAGACCAGCAGGAACGTTTTGGGGAAGGGAAATGCTTGAAGTGATGTGGCGGGATGGGTAGAATAGGTAGGGGGTACTGCAGTGTCCTTGGGGTCAGTCAGAAGTGCAAATGACCATTGGGGTGCTGCAGGGACTGTAATTTTAGGATCCGATCTTAAGTAATTTTTTGGGGGGGTGATCCACCATAATGTAAAACAGCTGTTAAGACAGGGGTTCCCAAACCCCGGTCCCTGAACTGCCACTGGTCCACAGCATGTCGGCAACCGGGCCACGCAAATAAGCGAAGCACACGAAACCAACGCACCCCCCGGTCCACAGGAAAACCCCTCTCCACGGAACCGGTCCCTGGTACCCAAATGTTTGGGATCCCTTGTGCTAAGGGACCCCTCCTACGTCAAGGAGATGAGAAGAATTACCTGGTCTCCCTGCTGCCGTAATGTCCATCGTCACTTCTTTCCATTTTCCATCCGGGGGACAAAGAGGAGCATCCATCAGGGAAACAGGAGCTGGATAGAAGCCGGGTGTGTGTGTTTGTGTGTGTGTCTCATCCAGACTGATCCTTAGCTTGTGTTTGACTCTAGGTTTCAGGCAGCACCTAGTCTGCCTCAAGATCAGGATATAGGGAGGAGGAGGAGGAGGAGGAGGAGGAGGAGGAGGAGGAGGAATGGGGGTCCTCGGTGGACCTCTGAACTGGGTGGTTTTCTTGCAGACGTTTCATGACCCAATGTAGGTAACATCATCAGTGCTAGTCAGGAGTGCTGTTTGTGGCAGCCCCCCAAATACTGGAATCCTGCTATCTAGTCCCCTCCCTTCCTTCTTTTCTCTAGAATGGCCAATCCCAATTCCTGCACCCGATCTTCCGATGTTTTAGCCTCCAGCTTCTGAATCCTCTTTGTTACTCTTCAGCCCCCCCCCCAAATGCCACACGTGGCCTCCTCACTTACCCGGCTTGGCCTCCTCATCCGTAGCTGTCTGGAAGAGTGGAAAGGAAACACGGGTCAGACGGGGCTCTCGACTCCCAGAGGCCTCGGCGTGTCCAGTGGGGCAGGGGGCCAGCTGCCGCCACGCTCGTGCCCAGAAACAGCAACCTGGTCCCCCACCCCATTCAAGGCATCGCCCAGAAGCTGCTCTGGAGCCCCTCCAACCAGTGGTGGGATTCAGTCGGTTCGGTAGAACCGGTAGCTGATTTTTTGTTGCCGAGGCCCAGAATGGACTTCCGGACGCGGCATCCACACAGAGAACCGGTTGTTCACATATTGGAATCCCACCACTGCCCCCCAGCTAACTGGGGGAGGGCGGGGTTCAGATGTTCTGAAGGGACCGAGGAAGGAAAAAAAGGAGGGCAGAGGGAAGAGATGGCAGGAGATACAGGTGGAGGAGAAAAGGGGGAAGTAGAGCTGGGGGACCCCTTTCTTGGGGGGGGCATTGCATGCTCTCCACCCATTAACCACCCTCCTCCCTCCCTGATTGCCTGTCCTAACATGAGAACATTTGATTCTGCTCTTTGACACGCTGACCCCGTACCGTGGACAACTGGTAAAGCCAGTTGACGTAGTGTCTCCCCCCGTTCTCGAAAACGACTCTCTGCACCATCTCCATCAGCTCCGAGACCTGCGCCTGCCACTCAACTCCCGCGGCCATGTTGTTGAAGCCACAGTAGCGGTTCCCACACCTCTGGATCAGCTCCCGCAGATTGCGGTTGTCCGGCTTTTGGACGTACTCCTGCAGGGATTCCCCTCTCAAATCCTCCTTGCGGGTGAAGAGGACGATCGTGTGCCTGGCCGATTTGGCCTCAAAGATATCCCAGACCCGTTTTGCAGCTGTCACATCTTCGGCGGTGAAGCGCCCCACCTGGGTCACAAAGATCAGGGCGTGGGGGCCAGGCTGGGAGAGTTCGACGCAAGCCGTGATCTCATTTTGCACCATCTCACTGTGGTTTTCGGAATTGAAAATGTTGGGTGTGTCGACCACGGAGATCTTCCTGTCCTGCCATCTTCTTTGACCCCTTTGGCACCTCATGGTGGTGGCCTTTTCCCCCAGGGACTCGAACTCTTTCCGGGCGAGGATGGTGTTGCCTGTGGTGCTCTTCCCTACTCTGGACTTTCCCACCAGGATGAGTCGGAGTTCGGCGGCATCCCCTGTGGGTTTGGAAGACATTGTTACACAAAGGAATTGAGACATTTCACATGTGCCCAGGAAGAAACGTGTGGCTGTGATCCAACATGTCGGGGCGTCATTGAGCAGGCTGGAAACGGGGACAGTTTTGGAAAAGAGTCACCCCTGCCCTGAAGCAGTTCAGGGATGTGTTTTTTTTTTTGTGAATCTCCCAGAGTTGCTAAAATGGGATATTTTGGCTGTGTAGATTCCTACAACGTGCGAACCCCACTTTAGCAAACCTCCACTGATAAAACAATGAAGCTCCAAGTCAGGAAATTACCCTTTGAGCCCCACCTAAGTCCCCCCCACATGATGTCCGAATATGGCCGCTGTGTCCAGCCCCCAGCACTCTGAGTGAGCAGAGTGACCTGGAAGAGACTTGTCTGCTGGTAGAGAGCTGCGGGAGGACGCCTGACCCACTGGGCTGGGGGGGGCAGGATGCAGAGGCAGGCTGAACCAAGCAGGACTGACCCTCCTGCCTCCCCCACCCCCCCAAGCTTGCAAGCCGGCTTCCAACTTGGTTTGTTTCAGACAGAGTGCGATTAAACCTGCGGGGAAGACGATTCGTGCGGGCCCGAAGAAATTCCGACTGAAATGGGTCTTGGGGGCCATCCCCCACCCACATGAGTGCCCCACGGCAGCCCTGTCCTCCTGCCTGCCTGTCCCTCCCAGCAAACCGGTGAGACTGCCGCCTTTCTTCTGCGGCGATCCTGCATTTTCCCCGTCACCAGACCCTGTCCAAGGTGGGACTCCGACAGCTAAAAGACCAGCGGGGACTGTGGAAGGAGGCCCATCCGTGGGCAACAGAGCCCCTCGGGGAGGGAGGGAGGGAGCCGTGCTCAGCAGTGGGGAGGGGGTCTCCACAGAGGGGCCAAGGCACCCACTCCTCTAGGCTGGCCCGTGAGGCTCTGGCTGTTCGCTATGTGGAGAGAACCTATCCAGTGCAGCTCTTCCTCTGAACTGGCATCAGTTCGCCGCAGCTCTTCCTCTGAACTGGCATCAGCTCGCCCTCCATGTGGCTGCCCTGTTGCCCCACCCCCCCGAAATGCCAGGCGTGGCCTCCTCGCTTACCCAGGCTGATCTCTTCCTCCATGGTTCCCTGGAAGAGTGGAAAGGAAACACGGGTCAGACGTGGCCCCGGCGTGTCCAGTGGGGCAGAGAGACTCGGCTGCCCCTCCCCTTCGGGCCCAGAAACCGCAGCCTGGTCCCTAAACCCCCATTCAAGGCTGCTCTGGAGCATCCCCTCCCCCCAGCTAAGGGAGGGGGTCTGAGAAGGGAAGGGAAGAAAAGAGGGGCAGGGAGGGAGGGGGAGAGGGAAGGGATGGGGGGCCCGGAAAGCAGGTGGAGGAGAAAAAGGGGAAATAGAATTGGGGGGAATCTCATTTATTTGGGGGGGCGTCGCATGCTTTAGCCTTATTTTTACAAGTAGGGGACAGGACTGGTCTGGATCATGATGGAGGGGGGGCTGGATGGCTGTCCAGGCCCCCAAAGGTTCTCCCCTTTCTGGAAGCCTCCACCCCCCCCCTCCCCTTTGAGGACCCCCTTCTCAGACCTACCGGGTGGGTCCTCCAATAGCTCATTCCTGGCTGTGGATGCTCGAGGAGTTGGGATTCCCTCGGCCCCCCGGACTGTGGGGAAGGAGAGAGAAGATGGGGGGGCGGAGACCCCCTTTTTTTTGAGCGGGCAGCTCCGGCCCACGACCCTTTTCGGGCGGGGGGAGAAAGGGGGGGGAAACGGGGGCGCTGCCCCTCCCCTCCCGCCTTGCCCAGCCATGCCTTGCCTTGAAGGGGTGCCCACTCCTCCTTTTGGTCCGCCTGAGACCCTCCCCCCCAAGGGACCCGTGAGGGGAGCAGGGGGGCGGCCGCGCCCCTCCCTCCGCTTTCAAGAGACCCGGAGCCCCCCACCCCGGAAATGGGGGGGCAGTTCCACCTTCCCCCCCTCCCCTCCCACTCCCCCAGCCCCACCGCAAGGGGGGCGCAAGCCAGCGCGAAAGTCCTGGAGGAGGAAAGTCGGAGGGGGGGGGTCGCCAGTCCTGGCCGGGTCTCCTTTGCTCGGACGGACCACCCCCCCTGATTTGGTGGGGAGGGGGGGGAGTGCGCCTCCCCCCCTTGCGCTCCTCCGCCCGGGAAGATCAGGAGGGGAGGGGTCCTGGGGGGGGCGACGGGCAGGGCAGGCAAAGGGGAGGGGGCGGAGGTTCCTAGGTGGGGGCTGGACCCCCGAAAGACCCGCCCCCCCGGAGAGGCGCCGGATTCCCCCCCCCCGGAGGCTTTCTTTTTTTTTCCCCTCCTCGGGATCCGGGCAGATGCAGCGGGGATATCGGAGGGCCCGATCCTCGCCCCCTGGCGCCCTCCAAGCCGGCTATCCCGCCC